CGCAGAAAGCGGTGGAGAGAGGGGGAAAAAAAAAAAAGCTGCTGGCAGGCATAGAGATATTTATAACCCAGGTGATCTCCCCCCGACCCCACCTGCCGCCCCCCCATGCCTCCCCGAGTGTCCCCCGGCTAGGGTTACCATACGTCTGGATTTTCCCGGACATGTCCAGCTTTTTGGGCCTCAAATCCCCGTCCGGGAGGAAATTCCCAAAAAACCAGATATGTCCGGGAAAATAGGGAGGGAGGGGTCGGCGGTGCTCGGCCGGGGGCCAGCACCCCAGGGCCCAAGCCGAGCCGGGTGGGAGACGCCGGGGCCAGAACCTCTTGGCCTGGGCCGGCCGGCCGGCCACCACAGGGAGCCCCTCGGCCGGGGAGGCCGGACTGGGCTGCGCCTCCTCGTGCCCCCGCCCCAGCCTACCTGCTGCCTGCCTGCTTCAGGCTTCCCGCGAATCAAATGTTCGCAGAAAGCAGCGGAGTTGGGGCGGGGCCGGAAAGGGGCAGGGCTGGGGGCGGGGAAGGGGTGGGGCCGGGCCCCATGGAGTGTCCTCTTTTTGGACACTTAAAATATGATAACCCTACCCCCAGCCCCCACTTGCTTCCCCCCCCCCTTTCCAGCCCCGGAGCAGAGCAGCTCCATGCTGCCTCCCTGCCGCAGGGTCCTAGTGCCCCACATCTTTACTGCCAGGGCAGACTGACTCTGAGCCTGCCCTTCCCCCTCAGACCCTTTCATTTTCCAATGGGACCCTCCAGCAGCACAGCCCCAGCCCCCGCCCTGCAGTCACCGCTCCTGCCCCATGCTGGGCAAGGAGGCAGCCTCATCCCCAGTGAAGCTACAGTCAGGGGCAACAGCAGGGGAAGAGACGCACACAGCACCCCCCGGCACCCACCACGGGGGAGGCGAGGGTGATTCCTGGACCTGAGAGGGGCCCTAGGAGCACATGCAGTGACAGTGGTGGGGGTGAGTGTGCTGCTGGGGGGAGACAGGGGGGCTCCTCCCCCAGAGCTTGCTGCTGCCAGCAGGGAAAGGGCTGGGGGAGTCCTCTTCTCTGTCCCCTGTCCCGGAGCAGCCTGCCTGCACCCCAAACTCATCCCCAGTCCTGCCTCACCCCAGAGCCCACACCCCCAGTAGAGCTTTCACCCCCACACCCTCAACCCTCTGCCCCAGCCCTGAGCCCCTCCCACACCCCAAACCTCCCATTCCCAGCCCCAGACAGAGCCCTCACCCTCCACCTACTCTCGCCCTGAGCCCCTCCCACACTCCAAACCCCTCCTCTGCAGCCACAACCCACTGCCCTCACCCCTGCACCCCCTCCCATCCCCAAACTCCCTCCCAGAGTCTACACCCCAAACCCCTGCCCCAGCCTAGGGCCTGCACCCCAGACCTCCTCCCTCACCCAAACTCCCTCCCAGAGCATTTGGCAGGGGAGAGGGGAGTCTACAAAATTTCTACAAACCTGCCACCCCTGAATCTGCCCTGCAAACCTGAACTCCCAGCATTCTCAGGACACATGCTGATCCCTAGTGGCCATTGCTGATATGCAGCACCTCCCTCCTCTCTTAACCTGTGAGTCCCTCTCTGGATTGGAACTGGACTGGAACCAAAGACTATCTTGGAAGCAACATTACCAGCCCAAGAACTCAAAAATCATGAGTTGACCCCCCAAAATCACAGGCTCTACTGCCGATGCTTCATTCTTCGGCAGCAATTCGGCAGCAGGCCCTTCCCTCTGAGAGGGACTGAGGGACCCGCCGCCGAATTGCTGCTGAAGAGCTGGCCCGGGGGAAGGGCACAATTTTAAATTCTTGCCTCGGGTGCAAAAATACCTAGTTACGGCTCTGCACATGGGCATAGTCCAAAATGCACAGTTAAAATATTACTATCCACATAGTATTGTAAAACCCTACTACTTGCTGCACAGCAGGTACATTTCTAGCAAAGAGACAATTCAATTAAAAGTCAACAAGACCGCATGCCATCTTCACAAGCTGCCTAATTGTGTGTGTGCGACAGGTCAGATTTTAAAAAAAAAAGGCATGTCCATGGATTTTATAAACTAAAATCCTACCTCTGTCTGGGGCTTTTTATCAGTTCACCAAAAAAAAAAAAGAAAGGGCATTACAGTATATATCCAAAGATCAGTCATTGATTCGGGTATTTGTCAGAGGAGGCTGACTCAAAATCCCTTTTTGAAGCAAAAGGATTATACAAACAAACAAGAAAGTAGCTTTTCAGGAAGGAGCCATCAGCACAGAATGCTTCCTCCCAGGTCTCTCTCGCTCTTTTGGGGAATGGCAGAGCTTATACACTGCTTTATCTCCCAGCATGCTTTTACCCAGCCCAGGAGGACTAGAACATGACTGCTAGGAGAAAAGAACACTTCCTAGCAGCCCTGCTCCCCTGGATCTGAGAGAGCCTGAGAGAGCTGAGCTGGCTTTGCTCACCTCCGCTGTGGGGAGTTCCAGCTCATGGAATGCCAGCCCTAAAACCAGTCGGCAGAATGGGGTGGGATTTTGGTCTTTTTAACCAGCCCCCAGACTGCTTCCTAGCAACCATGTCCTACCCCTCAGTGATCACATCCCCTGTCCCGCACGTATTTAAGACGCAAACCTGGAATGACTGTGTGCTGGTCTAGAAGGATTCCTTCACAGCCTGAAAAGGCCTAAACACCCCCTTGCAGTGATTTCCACATGTGAGGAACTTCTCCTGAAAACAACAGTTCTTCTTTACCAGCTTGTCAATATGGCATGTTAATGGGCCTGAAGGAGATGACCTGGAAAGGTATTTGCCTTGTGATTGAAAACTCCCTCAGAGTCTGATCATTTGCAGCAAGGGGAGTTTCATGATCCATTTTTTATTATTTTTATAGTAAGAAAAATCTCTCCATAAACTAAGGAAGTTGCCTTTTTGAGGGGATGATTTCTAGATTATGTATTATCCAAGTGTCAATACTCAGTTCTATTAAATGGGTTTTAAAAGTAAGATAGTTGGCAATCAAATTTTTATGCCTGGCTTATCTTATCTTTCTAGGTGTCTGCTCATTTGTCATTTTCACCATTTCTTTTTGGCAAGGATTTGCATTTCTTCAATCTTAAAACTTTTCTTGTGCCATCCATACATATTACATTTAGAGAGGTACATGGATGGCATCTCTCCTCTTGACTTATTTTATTTTTATATATTTGTTTTGGGCAGGACTCTAGTCAGCCAGTGGTAAATCTATTAATGCATGGACAAGTACATGAGGGTTAGTTGCCTGTAGCCAGCATGGTTCTCTGCTATGATTCACTCCTTGTTTTGCCAGTAGAATGGTTTCTGTTATTTTTTGGTGAGTGGGTAGCATATCCTCCCCTACTAAGTCTCTCTAACTTTACAATATGAAGTTTTTGGATCTGTTTACGTATAAGGGAGGTGTCTTCCCCATGAATTTCACATTGCCTCTCATTTTCTGGGGAATAAAAAGTTTATTTGAGTAACTTTGTGCTCTGTTTCAGTACATGTTACTATGGCAATGACTGCAGGGACTACAACATCCTTTCCCATGAGCAACCACACCCGGGAGAGAGTGACTGTGGCCAAACTTACACTGGAGAACTTCTACAGCAACCTAATTTTACAGCATGAAGAGAGAGAAACCAGGTACTGTGGCTGGGTTCTTTCACACCTTTAACTTTTTATTTATACTGGCCCTGTGTGGTGTTTCTACAGACCAAGTGTGTGCTTTAAAGTCATTTTAGTCCCTGCACAAAGTTTTTCTTAGAAAGTTGTATTGATTTCTAACCAAATTTATTAACCATTTGAGGGTACATTCTTTTGAGGGTGTATATATATCTCGGCACTAAGGCCTTGTTTGGGCTAACATATTTGTTAAAATCTCTCACTGTTGCACTAGTGTTAGTGGTACTAATTGCAGAAGCACTAGTATAGACCCAACCAACTTCATTTTAACCTCCATATCATCCATCCCTAGTTTCCAGCTACATCACAATGTAAAGCTACTGATTAAAGTGTCAAAATACCAATTCTTCATTTATTGAAACATAGTATTCATTATAATAAAATATTTGTTTCTATGGGAACAGATTTTTTTTATTGAGGTTATACAACCAAAGAACAGGTTTTAATATCTGTTGAGTTGCTTCTTATTTAGTTGGTACTCTATTAATTGGGCCTCTCACTCCCAGTTGGGAGGATAGATTGTCCACTGGGGAGTCCTATTTAGGAGATTCTACTATATTTCTCAAAATGGGAAAAAGGCTTGATTTTTAACTAGAGAAGGGCTCAAAATGAAACCCTAGAACTTAACATGCTAGCACTCATTGTTCAAAATCTTTACTCACATGTATGGTCCCATTCACTTCAAAAGGCTCATACTTGCACCCTCATCACTTTATTCCCATGTATCTAGGATTTGGACCTTTAGATACCAATCCTGCAAACCCTACGCACATATATAAACTTATCCATGTAACCCATTGACATCAACAGGTCTGGTCACTTGTGAGTAAAGGCACAAGTGAGTATGTTCGTAAGTGTTTGCAGGATTCGGGCCTTAGAAGGCTCTTTGGGGCAAAGACTTTGTCATCTGTTATGTGAAATGCTATGTAGACATCTGGTGCTGTCAAAATATAACTAACATATGCTGACTGGGGCAAATCGTCGTGTATGCCTTTGTGTGGAACTTCCACTGTAGTCAATGGGAGCTCTGTGACTAGAGAGCTGACAGACATAGGTACATGGTGTTCGCTTTAAAACGATAGTGCAAATCCATTGTTTTTATACAGGATATCTTTTCCAAGAAATGGGTTCGTTGAGCACTCTAAAATGGCAAATTTTTGATATTACACTTCCATTCTCCAGTTTGTATCAAGGATAAAGAGGGGAGATATCCCATCTCCTAGAACTGGAAGGGACCTTGAAAGGTCATCGAGTCCAGCCCCCTGCCTTCACTAGCAGGACCAATTTTGATTTTGCCCCAGATTCCTAAGTGGCCCCCTCAAGGATTGAACTCACAACCCTGGGTTTAGCAGAGCATCAGACCAGGTTTAGCAGGAATTTTTGTACTGTGTGTGAAGGAAAGGAATTTTTGTACTGTCTGATGTATTTTTCTTTCTTTTTTTTAAATGTGTACTTGTATGTCTACCTGTGCAGGCAGAAAAAGCTAGAAGTGGCCATGGAAGAAGAAGGTCTGGCAGATGAAGAGGTAATATCAATTGAAATACATTTGAAGGCTTATCTTTCATGGATACTGTTTAAAGCTGGTGTTCAATGAGTATATGGTTGACTGTTAACAGTCTTATTATCTAACATGATACGGAGATTTTTTTAATTATATAAATTTTGCTGTTGTATACAAACAGCATATTTTAGTTTTTAGCCATTAATAAGCTTTACATTTTTTTAATAAAAAAAAGTTGCTCACACCCCTGTTCAGTATTTATGATAGAGGCACCCAAGAAGAATGTAACATAACGCTTGTTTTTTGGAGTACAAATATGTTTGAAATTCAGTCAGGAGTTGGGAAGGAAAGAAAAAAGGGCCAGAAACACTTGGATGATACAGGCAGAAGACAAAATACACAGAAGAGAGGATCTAGGTTATGAGCCCTGATTCAGCAAGGTGTTTAACTATGTACCCAACTTCAAGCATGTGCCTAGTTCCACTGAAGTCAATGGGAGTTGCACATACTCACCCGAGGGCTGAATTTGCCACAGTGGCTTTATATTTTAACTGAACCAAACCTTTGTTTTTTAAAACAGTAGGCCTAGCTTTTCCTTCCCTTACACCAGCTTTATAGCAGTAAAGGAGTTAACCCTGCTTCACAGCAATGTAAGTGAGAAAAGAATCACATCCACTGGATCTTTCAACATTTCCTCCATTAAATTGCCATGCTGTGGTCATTCACATCATTGTTTCTTGTATTGCACTTTACGTGATGCAATAAGAATACAATAAAATCTATCTCAAACAGTTCTTGTATTGGTGCATTTAACATAACATCTCTCTTTAGAGAGAGAGAGAGAGTAGAGAGCAAGTGAGCATATAATGCCATCTTGTGGCTTTAAATGATAATAAAAATATAGTATAAAAAATATGACTTCATTGCCTGACCCTGATGGGGCTCAGCGTCTTTAAAACTCCTGTTAACATCACTGGAAGGTGAGGTGCTCAGCATTTCTCAGAATGAAGCCCTTTGACACTTTCATATATTAAAATATATTGGGACTTGCTATGACCATCCAGTTGCCTGCCTAATACAAATAGATTTTGGTGTAGATGGTAAATATTGATCTCTGCTGCCCAGCAGGCTACCCATGGCTGCCTTTTGCCTTTTCTCCCCCTGTCCAAGTCATGGAATCTGTGCTTTTGCTTTTCTTGACCTTTCCCACCTGTCCAGCCCCCAAAGTAGAATTGTCTTCTGGGCCAGTGGATTTTACCCAGTGGCATCTGTAGCGGATTCCAACCTCTTGTGTGTGAATGGCCAAGTTTTGAAGACTCACTGGAAAAAATACTTTGAAATGCCATCAGTTGGTATCTGTCCTCCCACTCATACCCAACCTCAAGAGTTGTAATGGGGTTTATTTAGGTCATTGCACAGTGGTATGTACTTTAAGCAAAGTCTCTTTCCTCTCTCTCATGTATAGTGGAAACCAGTAACTAAACTTCCCCTCAGACTTGTCTGTGTAAATTTTTTTTTTAAACTGTCTCTCTTTATGCATGTAGCACAAAAAACACACAACTGGGGCTGGAGTACAGGTGCAGTAAGAGCTGGGCAAGAATCTGTTTTCCTGTCCTGTGGAAGATTTTGAAAACATTTTCTGTCCTGAATCCGGATGAAAAGTTGAAATCTCAAATATTTTTGTAAACTGAAAATAAAAAAA